GTTTCTTATTGGGAATGTAGAAAAGATGAAGCATTTCCTCTGCAGAAGGTGGAAGCAGAACCTGGCCTTCATCCATAGTGACTAAAGCCTAATTCTTCTGTTTGGAAAATCTGGCTGAATAATTTAGTCGTTGTTAAGATGCACTGATGATAGATAGGGCTTTGAGGTGTGTAAGTAATTCTTAACCACATGGGTCGATGCCTGCTGAAGATCATTTGTATCAGTTGTCTTAGGGATATACATTGTCACAAAGACACCTTTACTTTGTTATACCTCTTTCCATTCCCACGTCATTTATTTTGTACCTTTTAAGTAAAGGAACAGATAACCATGAAATGTAACTGTTATTGAAAGGACGCACAAGACTTGGCCGTGTCTTTAGTGCTACTGCTTTCCCCTTCCTTGTCAGGGGTGGTCACTCAGACAATGAAAGTGGGTTGGAAGCACTATCCTTTTGTATATGACATTCCCACAGATTCTATAATATATATGATTTTTGACAGGCCACCATTTTTGGTCAAGACTGTAATAAACTGAGAAAACTTGGTGCAGTAGTCTTCTTCTACAAAAAAACCCCATGAGTGTACCCATTTACAGGAGTAAATTATCCCTATTGACCAGAAGAAGTGGAGGCAATAAATAATTTTTTTTTTTTAAAAACCCTCAAACAATTACAAACCCAACAAAACTATTAACAGTTGTACACAGTGGGATTATATGTAGAAGGCCCTTGAGTGTGTACTCAGCAAATCTCCCCCTGATTTAATTAATTGGTAAAAAATAAGATAATGGCAGTTATATTGATAATGGAGTCTAAAGTTTTTTAGCACCAATTTCTGAGCAGTTAGAAAGAAATAAAATGCTGGTATGGAAAAAAAGTATTTTTAAAAATCAATCTTCAATACAAAAGATTAGGAAAACATGTTTTTGTTCTGCCTGACTGCAGCATTACTGTAGGAGAAGGCATGCATAACCAAACTTGTCCAGAAATGTGTTTAATGTACTTGGAAAACATTAACTTCTTTCCATAGCTGTACTTGTATTTGTTTCTCCTGTAAGCCTACTGCATGATTTCATTATGGGATAGAATTTCACGTGTTTGTTTTATACTTTATAACTGTGAAAATAACTGTGTTTTCAGTGCGGTTTGTTTGTTTGCTTAAAATAGACCTCCCAACTTCCTAGATTTTTTTAGGGAAAACATGCTTATTTTAGCGAAAGGGAAACAAATATTGAAGTATTGACTTGTTGATTATATTAAATTGTCTTATAGGCTTTTTAAAATTTGGTTTCATTTCTGAATCAGCCTTCTTCCTGAGGCTACAAACAGGAACTGAGATTTGCATGTAATGGTTGGTTCTGGTTGCTCAGGGCTGGAGGATGATTGCTAGGGCTTAAAAGCCCTTGTCTTAGAAGCATGAGGTTTCTGGTTGTGCTGGGATTTCAGTGGCCCCTCTCCCCTCCCCAAAAGCAGTTGCCATTGCAGGTTCTTTCATATGCTTCTACATGTTGCACTGGGGTCCATGAGCTATTCCAGTAATCTGGCCTGATGTAAAATACAGCTTTAAACAGCTCACTTATGGATGACAAGTCATGGAGCAGCCAACAATTCAGCTGCTCACCTGTCTCCTGTTCTCCTTCTCGTGCCTTTTAGGCTGGGGATTCACTAAGTGTTTCCTTGCAGACTCGCTGAGCATGCGGCACACTGAGGTGGGACGTGCGGAGTGGTGTGTGCAGGTTCCTGTGTGACATTCCTGAGGATGCTCACTTGGCACACTGGTGCTCAAGGCCATGGAGGTGGGAAGTAGAAGCTGTGGCTTTCTCTGCTGGGGACTCCAGCTGGTGACAGTTCCTTAGTGCTTGATTAGTCCCCTTGAGCTCCAGTTGACTGATAGCTGTGGCATCCAAACACTCAGCCATTTGTCCCTGTCTTGGCACAGTTCCTGTGGTCAGCTGGCTTTGTCGAGGACAGCCTCAGCTGGGGCTCTTTGCTTGCCATAAGCACAAAGCATGAACTCCGTGTTCCTGGCGTGATTTTATATAAAATGGTAAAAATAAAGGAATTGCAGGTTTTCATTTGTGAACCCAATGCAAACTGGTCATGCTAGCAAGTTTGTAGTTCTCATGATGAATTTCCGGCTTACTGCTTCCCTTGAGGAATTGGGCATATAACCCAGCATCCAGCAGATCACCTGAAGGCGTTAAACCAGAGATAACTGAAAAACTAGCACAAGACTACAAATTTCAAACTAAGCACCTCTCATTTTATAATGAACTGCAGTATGTAGGTATGTGTTACTGTTAGTTCTTGGATAGCTTAGGTTATCCAGGAGCCAGGTTGGGTTTCCTACAGAGGAATCATGGTATGAAATGGACCTGTAATTACTTGTGCTACTATGCAGAGTCACTTAAATAAAAATCATCAGTTTGGTTTATCCAGGTTAATTTTTTTTAGTGTTTTTTGCAGTTATAAGAGTTTTCTTTTTTTGCTGGTGTTTTTTTTTTTTTTTTTTTTTTTTTTTTCTGGATAGCAAGCACATATACATATAAATCTTATTGATGCTATTTTATTGACTTCTGCATTTGAAGCTCAAACAAGTGAGCAGCAAGATCTGGCTATATTGTAACACTTGAAAAAAAAAAAAAGCTTTGCTGGAGAGGGATTAGAGTTAGGTATCAAAACATCTGAAGGGTCTCCAAGTGTAGCTTAACCTGAAGCATGTTCTGCATTAGGGCTTCAAGGGCTGAGCCCTGTTTGCTCCCTCTCTCTGGGTAGAGCAGGAGCAGGGTGCTGGAGACTCCTGTGGACTCTTGCGCTCTGCTGAAGCCTGACCAAGTTTGAATATAATTAGGGCATAGAGAAAGGGAGTGGTAGAAGTCTAAGATAGGTTGGGTATTATAAGCAAAAGGCTCAAATAGCCTTTTTTCCAGGAATGGAGAAGTCTGTGTGCTGGGACCATTAGGTGTTGCAATGCAGACCGAGCCCTTAAGGCCAGGCTGATGAAGCTTTGAATCTGGCTACCAAAACATCCTCTCTCGTCTAGTGTGTGGCTCACAGTGAAGGATAACCTTCCACTTACCCATCAATGGACCAGTGGGTAGAGAACTATTTCTGCAGATGAGCAGGTGAGCACAGTGCCGAATAAATAGTTCAAAACTTAGCTGCTAGAAAATTAGAGACTGTGAGATTGAAGGCTTCCTCTACAATCATCGTTTGTCATCAACTTTCTGTATACTCTTGATAATTGGATATGTTTTATTTAACATCAATCATTCCTGAATTAACCCATTTTTGGATATTAAAAAAACCTAAAACCAAAACTATTATTAAATGCAGACTGTATATCAAGAAAAGTTTCAAAGCAATAGGAGTATTTGGTGGTTTATATGGAAATATTTTTAATAATTCTCCTAAAGATTACCTCTTCCTTTTTATCCCCTCATTTAAAAAATAAAAGCCAGATAAAAGAAACATCTAAAACTCCCAACCCATACCTTTTCTGAGGAAAAAAAATGCATGCTGGCTAAAAAATGAGTCTTCATAGCTTACAGTTTTGATTTTAGAAAATATACAATGGTGAACTATCAACTGGCTGACAAAAAAGCCCATGAGAGTGTTGTTGGAAGTGTTGAATGGCTAATGTGTGTCTGACTTCTGAGCTGTCTGTGAGAAGGCAATTGTTTTAGCTGCTTCTGAGTATAGATTACACAGAGTTGAGTGGAGGAGGCTCACTGCGCTGCTTTGTTGTCTTTGCAACCACAAAAACACCACTTTATATAATTTTACATTTCATGGCTCTTCATGCTTTTCATGTTTCATTTTCAAAGAGCTATGTAGTAGAAGCAATGCTTAGGTATTTTAAGTGATTTTTTTTCCCTAATTTTTTTCCATTTCTGTAGCTGCATAAAAGAAAATCCAGCCTGTGTTTTAAGGCAGATAACACAAAAAAGGGGAGATGGCAAAATAGTGCTCATGTAGGTCCTGTCTAGCTTGGCCAGCAGTCTACATAACACTGATATTATGCAAGTCCCTTTGTAACTGTCCTCTTATAAGTGAGGAATGGTTTGGTAATTGGTATGGTAATTAACCTGGAAAACTATCCTCTGCTTCGCTTGCCAACTGGCTTTAAACGCTGTGATGTTAATTGGTAAACTGATCCAGTGAAGAGAGGTTTGAAATGTTTACAGGCTTGTCTGAATTAAATTCACCTCTTATTTCAATGAATGGCTTTTTCTTTTTGATGGGATGTTCTGTTGTTTGTTTTAATTTGTAAATACTGTTTTTTAGAGGTTTGGTTTTCATGAAGAGCTTGTTTGCTTTTTTTTTTTTTTTTTTTTAAAAAAAAAAGCCTAAACAACAAAGTAAGTTTTTTCTTGTCGCATGTTCTTCTTTGATATGAATTTCTGGCTTCATGAATTTATGTATGCTAGACTGTGAAATATTGACATGTTCTGAGAGTTAGTTCTTCTTGCCTTACATATGGTGTTTGCGTATATATTCCTGAAACAAAGTGTTACTTGATAGAACTTGATTTGCATTAACTCAAGACTGTTTTGTCAGTTGAGAGTAAACAGAATTATTGTTGTGGAACTTGTATTGTAAATGCAGAAATATATAGGAAATGTAAAAGGTGGTAAGGGATTTCCTAGTTACAGATGATGAAAACTTGTCTTGATGTTGCCTTCTTACTTTGTAGTAGGTGTTTGGGGTTTTTTACTGATTTAAACTAAGGCAGTGACTCATGCCTAACCCAGGTATATATTGCAGGGATTACCTGTAATTCTCTTGACAACATTCACATTTACAACATGGGAGCCCCTCTGTATTTATGCATTTATGTTCTGGTTTACAACAGGCTAATTTTACAACTCGTTCTTCTCTATAAGAAGCATTTGTTAACTTGGGGTGTAATGAGGTCTATATGATGTTGTAAGTTACTCTGAAAAGCAAACATAGAGAATTCTAAGAACTGTCATTAAACATAACTTTTGTTTTATAGGTTATTCAGCAATAGTTATGAACTCCCGTTTACGAGCCTTAGGTGGGAGGATAAATAACATACGAGCGTCAGAGCTACCAAAAGAGAAAACCCGATCAGAAATAATCTGTAACGTCCACTTTTTGGATGGCTCAGTACAAAGCTTCAAAGTCAACGTAAGTTTGGAAAACTTTCTTTTTAAATACATAGAAATTTGTTTGAAAGCTGCAGATGAAATACGGGACTGTGAGGCATGGTATCTCCAAAAGATGTTGAAGGTGTAGCTTTGTCATAACAAATTGCACAATTACTGCTTATGAAGTGGATTTAAAAAGTGCTGTTTTAATTTACTTTCAAGCCAACCAACTTCAATGTCATAAAATCATGGCATGCAGATTGTATCTGGAAAAAGGTCTTCTATTTGATATGGGAACGAAGAAACAGATATGGTGATCATTATCAACTATGAATAAGTAATTAATATTAAAAGGGAACTCCTGAACTGGGATGTGCTTCTGCTTCAAAGGACTAGTAAAAATGACTCCTCCTTACAAATTCCTGTAGTGATGTCAGTATATTTTCAGAAATGCAAAGGTGATATTAACAGTGAGGATGTTGTGGCTTAGTAGGACTGTTCTGTTCAGTCTTTTGTACCTCAATACAGTCTCTTTATTTGGGTGTGGGGAGGGAAAGGGGATTAATGGAGGTTTGTACTCTGTATTTTTTGTGCATTCTATTGTGCAAAGTTTATAACCTTTAGTACTGATTTAAAATATCAGTTCATTTTTAAATGAATGCAAGGGAAACTTCTCAATCAGCTTTAAATAGAATTATTTCACAATGCAGAAAAACTGTGGATAAATTTAAGTAGAATTGTGTGTCAGATTGGTATGCATTTCTTTATATGATACTTATTTTATCCAATTTACCTTATTTGAGAAGAAGGATTTTGCTGAGGAAGCTGTACTGTTTAGATATCTTAGACTACACTATGTTTTGTAACAGGACATTCAAAACTGCACCCAAAAGTTGTATTTTCCGAAGTCTTATTACAGTTCTTTGCAGACTGATTTTGTTTTTAGCTTTGTCTGTTGGCTATTGGATATAAATTGAAACATAAATTTTCTGATAGGCTAAAAAGGTTATTTTCACCGTAGTATATCCAAAATTAGTCCCATTTTAGTATGTATTTTGCATGCTCTGTGTTCATATATGTGTGTAATATTGGGGAGTGGAGTAGAAGGAGAGTAAGTAAGAGAAGGACCAACATGTTAGTATACAGTTTCCATTGTTTGTCTCCAGCATGCCCTAGGAATTGTCTTGTCTGTCAGTGAGCTGGCATAATTGCCCCCTGACCTGCACAAGGCTCTGTGTAAAGTGAAAAATTCAAAATGGTTTTAAAGCCGTGCACAGTAGTATATTTGTTCTTTGTAAACAGATGTTTACACAGCTTTAGGTGTAGTGTTTGGCCTGAAGTCCAGCACTATACATGTGAAATTTGCTCCCCATTTCCTCCTTTAGGCAGTGAGTACAAAATGGGAACCATTGAGGAACTGTGTAGACCTTAAAGCAGCCTTCTGGTAGCTAAAGAAAGCTGGAGAGGGACTTTGTACAAGAGCATGTAGTGATACAACAAGGGGGAGGGACTAGCTTCCAACTGAGGAAGGGTAGATGTAGATGAGCTCTAAGGAAGAAGTTCTTTGCTGTGAGGGTGGTGAAGCACTGGAATGGGTTGCCCAGAGAAGTTGAAGATGTCCCATCCTTGAATGTGTTGAAGACCAGGCTGGATGGGGCTTTGAACAACTTGGAGTAGTGGAAGGTGTCCCTGGCCATGGTAGGGTAGTTGGAACCAGATGATATTTAAGGTTCCTTCCAACCAAAACCATTCTATGATTTTTTAAAGTTCTGAACCCGACTGAGTTCTCTCCCTACCTTCAGCGTATCCTTAGGGTACCACTACTGGTTACCTCCTCCATCCAGGAATTGTAAGGGCCTCCTTTACTGCAGCTGAGATGCTGAACCCACATAGGGGTGATATAGGACTCATTACTGCTCTACATGAAACAAGCAGGGAGTGCAGCTACCCTGCTGTGTTATGGACTAAGAAAAGGGTTTCGCAGATTTATGTTCTTAGAGTACTGAGCTGGTAATGAGGGAGGTTGCACTTTTCTGTGAGGGTGGCCCTTCTTGATTATCTAACCTTGATATCAGCCCAGGAATAGGCTTTGCCACACTCTGGTAGTGTCATAAGGTCCATTTTTCAAAAATATGGGAAACCAGCTGCAGAAAATTAGTATCCAAGTTTTGCTTACGTTAGCAGAAAAATTCAGCCTAACTCTGTGTTTGTGTGTTTATTTTAATTGCCAACATAATTCAATTTTATCTGTGTGAGCAAAGAATAACTTGGGTCTGTGGTCAGTCTGGAAATCATCTATCTGGTCATGAACTGAAGGGCATGTAATTATTGAAAAACAGTAAGTTTTGCTTTGAACAGATTTTCCCCACTAGTGAAGTCTTTCTGTGTTGCTTTACAGAAACTGTTTCTCGTATCAAGATGTTTTTCTCCACATTTAATTCATTTCTGGATGACATGTTAATTGACAGTTCCATATTTTAAAGACATTAAATATGCATATAACATGGCATAATTATCCAGAAGAAAAATTAGCAGAAATATATTAAATGATGTAGTAGTACATTATTAAAATGAAGGTGCTTTCTGAAGTGACTAGACATAGATACAAGGTCCATGGTTAAAAATCCTACTGTGTCTCTTGGATATTTAAAATAAGTTTTCTACTTTTTTTTTTTTTTTACTTTCTCTGCTTTTACAATTATTGCTGAAATATGTTGAATTTTTTGGAGAATAGACCTGAATAGGATCACCTCTTCTAAAGCATAGAGCTCAGTGTTTTCTCTTTAAAAGAAATTCAGTATTATCAGTGGAAAATTAAGGTTGGGAATTCTTCGGGGTTGTTTGTGGTCTAGTGGTACCTGGTTCTGATCTGTGAAGGCTCAAAGCGTGAATAGATGTTACACTTTGAACTAACATTAGGCTAATATTTACATGTACGTAAGTATGCTTTATGTTCATTGACATAATTATATTTTTTGTAGTAGAAAGTAAAAGTGGAAAAGCAGAATACTTGAAGCTTGGCCTTTGTCCATATAATAGCATAAGTGGAATTGGAGAGTTCTCCCATTCTAATGACAGTGTGATAGAAACAACTGAGCATTGCTTTGTCATGTAGCAGCTCTCTGAACACAGAATTCATACTGCAAAAGGATTTCTTTCTTTCAAAGTTGTAAGGGGATTATATAGGAAAATAATAGTAAAAAAAGAAATTTCATAGGTAAGAAGAAACTTAAGATAAATTTGCTGTAAGTTTGAACAAATAGATATCCTTATGTTGTCATCTCTGTTGTCTTGTTGACAATGTAAATATGCTCAAGACTACAAAATATGGGGTGGGTTTAAATTTAATAGAAAGATAATTGATTAAATAGTCTAAACTTACAGCACTGAGAACAACTTATATATTTTGGAATTTAGTACTAACATCTTTAAAACTATGGTATCTCAAAATACTGAATCTTTCAGAGAATAGAACAGGGAGAATAGATATAAAACTTTCTTTTCATTATCTAGGAACAAGATCTTTATAGAACCCACAGAGCTGATTTTCATCAAATTTTGTTACCAAATGGCATGGTACTTTTGTAGTTATACCTATGTGTTTCTTTCTTCTTTGTCATTCTGATTAATAATACTTCAGATGTTTGTTTTTCCAGTGGTTCTGTCTGTAGGAGGGTGAGTAAAAACCAAGTATTGTAAAACTGGGCAAAGGAAAAAGGAAGGTAGATTTTGCATATGGATATAACCAGGGGAATTTTCTATCTATTGAGAAGCCTGAAGATAGCTGGATAATTTCATTTCTTAAAAGTTGTTCTTGTAATCATTTATCCCAAAGAATATTGGTATTCTGACCCGCTGTAAACAAAGACTTAATTGCAAGAGAGCGGTGCCGTTTTTCTCCTGGAGTTGTTAGTTTGGCAGAGTAGTGAAGTGATTGGCTATTTTGTTCAATCTGTTATATAAAAGTGTTATACTACAGTTTGAGTGAACCTGAAATTTGGATTCATGGTATCACAAAGAGTTCATCAGTATAACAACCTGCGGTATGTGCTGATTTTAGGTCATCATTATCAAGAAAATTCGCATGGGAGAACAGACAGACATTCCACTACATTGCTTACAGTCCTCAGAGTATGTTAACTATGCAAGGCTGACATGGCCTTTCTTGTTCTGCTGTTATGTTTCAGTACTTAGATGGAACGTGTCCAAAGTCCAGGCAAAGAATAGAAGGTGCATGGCAGCTGAGAGTTGGAAATGTTCTTTCAAAACCACATTTGAGGCAAAGACTCGACTGCATTTAGTGCTGAATGTTGCACTTGGCTTTAATGATATCCAGGCTTTCTTGAAGTTTCCCAGTAAATTTCAGTTGTTTCAGTTTTATGCTAAGGTTAACTCACCTCTGTCCTTATTGTCACCTCTGTCATGTTATTTTTATATAAGACTATAATGCAAGATTTTTTTGTAAGACTATAATGCATAGGCATTTCACCTGGAGAAAATGTTAGCTGTCATTCTGATATATAGACAATTTGCTGATATACCATGTATGTGTGTGTTTAATAGGTATTTATTATATTATATATAATTTTATATACAATAATGCAAATCTGTCTTTAATTTTGATATAAACATACAGGATTTTCTGGTTTTGCTCTACTTTGACTCATTTACCAGGAATGACCACTTGGGAAGCATCTCTCAAGTAAACTGACTTTTGAGAAGGTATAAAACTGACAGCATCAGATCACTTCTGAATTGCATTGTCTGTCTGGGTTAATGTTTTTGTCTTATTACCTGGGATTTTTGCTTTTAGACTAGTTGGCTTTTAATGATAGTGCTTCCATCTAGAAATAAAATTATGAGGTTATAATAATTCAAAAAGTTGCATGTATTGAAGCTTCAATTGTAAGGAATGTTTTTCCTTTCCTTGCACCTCAGTTAAGTTTCTTCTTCAAGTATTTGAGAAGGAATATGATGGTTAAAATGAACACCCACAATTACTCTTGGTATATTTAAAATAATGGACAGAGGTACAAGTCT